GACTGTGTGAGCTGATACTAGAGCTTCACTCAGGGACCTGGAAGATGGAAGTCCAGTTTGGATAACACAGGTTGAGAGAACCTGTCCATGATGAGCAAGCATGGAGCTACAGTGGAGAGGAAAAACTCCCCGTTCAGAAGAAACCTCTAGCAGAACCAGGCTCAACATGGCAGTCTTCTGCCAGACCGGTTAAGATGGGACAGGGAACGTAGTAAGAGTCCAGGAGGAATGACGCTCTGATGAAGCTTTAGCTACGATGGTGGAGGAGGGGCTGGAGGGGGGTTGAAACGGGGTCATCTGAATGAAGTTGCAGCGCATCCACCGCCTGCCCACAGGAGCAGACAGGTGCGTATCGGAGGCCTTTTAAGATGAGCTTTGGATGCCGATTGGCTTTCGTGGATTTGTGGTTCAAAGCTGATTGGCCGTGACGCAGGTGGATGAAGGAAAGCAACGAGTTTCTGCAGTTGAACTCCTGCCTAGGCTCCATATTAGCCCACTATCAAAAAAACTAATTAGGCTTAAATACATAAAAAGCATTCATGATTAAATATTTATTTTTCCTGCAACACCATTTGACTAATCTGCTGCATGATACTTGGTACTTAAAGTTTAATCTCCATGAAATTCATCAGATTTTTGATCTAATCTGTATTTTGAGGACTTAATATATGAAATATGCAGACTAAAAGAAATACACTGAAAGAAATAATGCAACGGTTTTGGGCATTTACATATTTTGTTATTTTAACACAATTGATTCATGTTAGCAGGGTAGGACATAAAACAATTGTGTTAAAGTAACTAAATATGATTAAGTAAATGCCAAAAGCGGTTGCATAATTTTTTTCAGTGGACTACTGTAATTTCAAACATCCACATGGAAATATGATCCAGTTTTCTTCAGACCACGGGAAAAGCGCAATCCTCTTTTTCCCCTCCTTATCGGGGGATCAGTGCAATAAAATGCAGCCTGCAACAGCAGCCTTTTGATACGATGATTAGGCTATGTGAACGAAAATAAGCCAGACAAAAACAAAAATCCTTTTTTTCCCATTTGCCTTTGCTTTGAAAAAGCTCCAGTGAGCTGCAGAGTGGTAAAGAGCCGGATGCAGCTCTGTAGCTGCAGGTTTCTGACCACCGAGATAAGGTCTACCTGCTTCACTGTAGTTAATTTGGCATCAGTCCACTGCTGTGTTAATCCTCTGATATCCGGCTGAAGTCAAATATTTCCGTTTCAGAACCGTCTCTGAGGCCTTGCTGACGTCAGATGCGCTGCTTTTCTTGCATTCTTAATTCAATTCTTCTTGCTCCTTTCTCAACCTTTGCTCCCAGCCTGAGCGTCACTGAGAGCTGTTGTCACAGTATATTCCTTTTCAAAGGCTTTTCAAAATGAGGCTTGTTGGCAGACTTGCTGCTTCTGATATAACAGCCGTTCCACACTGTGGACACTGCTGCAGTGAAAGCAGCACTCCTGCAATATACTGGCTGCAGAAGGAGCGTCCACAGGGGAGGTTGACTGGATCAGTAAAGATGTTCAGACAGACAGAGCAGGTCAGATACTCCAAGTATGAAACAGACGACACAGCTGCTGCTCTTCTCTTCGCCTGTTCTGGCAGGGAGGCCTGGCAGCTTTAACTTCCTGATTAACCACACCCAGAGTGTTTGCACAAGTCAGAGCTCTTTGAATCATTCCAAGTTTCATGGTCTGCAGAAACAACGATTATGATGAATACCTCTGGTCTGCCCATATTGATTCATATTTAGGACTTTATGACTGAAATCATGCAACAATCTTTTGTTGAGGAATTTCAAAATCTTGTTCAACATAAAGATGCATTATATTATTATTATTATTAAAATTTATATGCAAATAGTATCAAAGATGTTTTTATTTCATCAGATCACAGCATTAGACTCTTCTTGCAACAATGGCATGATATCACCAGCATGCAGTACCACCCTTATAATATCAGTGTGCAACATTCACCAAATAAAGGACTGTGTTAGGATTCCAGTTTGTGTGGGTTGTTTTTGTGTTTTCTTTTGTTC